AGTTCTCTCCATTTTGTCTCTGTCTCTGGCAGAGAAATGGCAGAGACAGGATATCTAGGTATTGATGTTTTGTGGTTTTGGTGACTTGACTTACCTTGGGTTGACGTCAGGTGACATACTGGAAGCAGGCACTGGCTTAAATCCGGCCGTTCCAGGCATCAGTGGTCTGGGCTTTGGCTGCATTTGCCCAGATCTCAACCCTTGCTATTCTAGTGACTTGTGAGTGGCTTACGACATCCTGCCCCATGACTGCTCGTGTTGTGCCATAACAACTAATGAATAATCAGTCGGTCTGTTTACAGAGTGATGTAACCTCTGCACTCGCCATCTTACTAGAATTTGAAGGCAGTTGTACAAAATGGAGATGATTCCTTCCTTCATGTATTTGTTCGAAATCACTGTGCCAATGAGTGCACTCTCAGGCCCCAGGAATACAGAAATGAACAGGCTGTGGTTCCCACCCAGAGGACCTCACACTTGAGCTGGAGAGACTTATTGTGCAGCCACGTGCCCTCACGCACCACTGCTCCAGCCTGAGGGGGAAGGAGACGGGATCTCTATTAGTTTGCTAGGGCTGCCAGGGCAAAGCACAACAGATGGGGGGTTCTCCCACAGCTCTGGAGGCTGAAAGTCCGAGATCAAGGTGTCAGCAGCTGTGGTTCCTTCTGGAGCCTCCCTCCGTGGCCCGTAGATGGACGTCTTCTCCCCAGTCTTCACACATTCCCTCCGTGAGTATCTGTGTCCTCATTTCTTCTTCTTATAAGGACGCCAGTCCTATTGGATTAGGACCCACCTGCATGACCTCGTTTAACCTTAATCACCTCTTTCTGGGCCTTGTCTACAACCGTAGGCACGTTCTGGAGTGCTGGGATACCGGTAGTCACGGCTGTAGACCCTGGGGCCGTAGACTGGGGCCAGACCACCTGGCTTGAAATCTTGGCTCTGTGCCTGTGTTACCTTGCCCAAGTGACCTATCTTCTCTGTGCGCCACAGCTAGGAGGGGTCACCTGTCACCGAGTCTAGGCACAGGCAGTGTGGAACTGTGGGAGGGCTCAAATAGGGGAGTGTCCTGATTAGACGTGCAAAGGTTGCCTCTGAGATGGGATCAGACAGGAGCTTGTGGTCTTTGTCTAGGCTAGATATGATGAGGGTGTGCCTGGCATGGGGAAGTGGGGACTTTGAAGACAAGAGAATTTCAAAGGTCTTGAAACTCATAAGAAATATTGCAAGTTATCCCTTCCTAAAATTGTATAACAAAAATTTTCAAATACAGGAAATTTAAACATTAAGATGGAAAAAATTGTATAATAAATACCCATGGACACACCCCCTCAATTGAAAAATAAGGATTTTGCTTTATTTGCTTCATTACCCATCTTCCCATCCCTCTGTCCATCCATCAACCCACTTTATTTTTTGACTCGTTTCAATGTATGTGCAGAACGAGGACACTTTACCCGTAAACACTGCAGCATGCATGTCATTAACTAGATGAACCATGATATGTAAGTAAAATTAACCTGCTGATCCTGTCTTCCTTTAAAGTTTTTGATGGTTTGTCCTGCGTAGATTTTTTTGCATTAATATTGATTTTTTAAACAATATTATGTTAAATGAGAATTTATCTTGATCATAGATTTTTGGCAATTTTGCATTCATGTGGAATGCCTCACTCGCCTTGCCCTAGTCCCTGCCCTCCCTGGAAGTCCTGACTGGAGTTTATAAATAAATAACCACGTCTGTAAGGAGGGAATGAGCGCTCCTTACTCCTGTTTTTTATTTCTTTGGGATTTGTCTTTTCTCTGCCAACAATGGACTCAACTTTGATGACTTTTTAGAAACAATTTCTGCCCCAGGGTAGGAGAAGGGAGCATTTCAACCCAGGGGGATTTGAGGTCCTACAGGAGTGAGGAAAGGGGGGCTGGAGGTCCTGATCAGGGCCCTGAGCTCACACAGCTGGACAGACACCCCCCCCCGCCCCCATGAGAACCCAGGAAATTAAGTCCTAAACATTTATGACTCAGTGGTTACACACACAGCAGGTGATAAAAAGAGCCATTTAAGTACAATCAATAAGAAGGAAAAAGATAAAAATTTCAGAGTCTACAAACTCCCAGCCTTGTAATTACATTTCAGCTGTAACTGAAACTCGTGTTTCCTCCTCTTGCTAACAGAAAATACATTCCATAATTTGTGATTATGCTTCTAGCTGCACTGTTTATGAGCTCACATGGGTGAACATTTCCAGAGGGCCTGCTGCGGGCCCCGTGTCCGACTGGGCAACATCACACGTTCTCTTCCTGCAGAGCCATCAGGAGGCCAACATGCAGATCCAGGCTTCAAGCCCCTCGGGTCATGGACCCAGGTCTGGCCTGATCTGGACTCCTTTAGGAGGGAAAGACACAGCTATTAACACTCAGTCTATAGATCAGACAGCTGAGGCTGACAGGGTTTCAATCCCTCACCCGGGG